TATATATATATATATATATATATATATATATATATATATATATATAATAGATCCAGTTATAATAGCGATCATATATTTAGTAACAATTGCTGTATTTACTGTATGCCTCCTCTTACGTGCACTCTCTTTCTGCCTGTGCCAGCTGGAGCTCATATACATTTACCTCTCTGTATATATCTGTTGTATGAACAAGCATATTTCCAGTGATTCTTTATCGGAGTATTCCCTATGCCTAAATATTTAATCAAATGTGAATAAATATATTTATAGCTGCGCGTAATACATTTGTATTTCTCTGATTTTTTCTCTTGTGTTTGTATCTCCTCAGGACCTGCGGCAAGAGTTCCTGGGCTACTTTCAGAGATGCATCGGGGCGCTGCATCTTCTGCTGTTTGACCTGGAAAGCCGCCACGACGCCGACGGAGTTCAGAAGCTCTTTCAGTGCCTTACGCAGATATTCAGGTGTATAGACAGTCATACACAAATGGGGAGAGAAGGGTCTACGGTCTACGCCCTAGGATTTAAATTAAGGCCTAGGGTTTAGGGTCTAACGCCCAACGCTTAGCGTCTAGAGTTTAAAGTTCAGCTTGGGGGTTGGGGAGAGGAGGGGGCGTCGAAATATTAACAGAAACCCCTCTCTCTGGATGTGTACACGTTGAGAAAGAGTGGTTTGTTATTAGGGTTTAGAGCTTAGTATGCTTAAACCACTAGTTGGCGCTGCTGCCTTTCCTTGTTCGTATTTGAAGCGGTTTTGCTTAGGGTTTAGGGCTTAGGGTTTAGGGTTTAGGGTTTAGGTTTGTTTGTTGACAATGGTTCGTTCTCAGATATCTGCACAAGTACCTCGTATTGAACATGGAGGACTTTCTGGACATCANAGCAACAGCAGCAACAGCCGCAGCAGTCTGATGAGCAGCAGCTCACCAGCCATCAGTCGCAGGACCAGCAGCAGGAGCCGCGGCAGCCTCCCCTGAAACGCAAGATGAAGGAGAGGCAGCAAAAAGAGTCTGTGAAACGACAGGTTCATAGGCGGCTGCGCCCCCCTCAGAAGCAGCGGAAAGATACAGCTGAGGTGAAGATCTTCGGCAGCTCGCTTATGGCCGCCCAAGCTGTTGCAACGGTCATAAGAAGGGCTGCACGAGACGAAGAAACTTTCTATGATTGTATTGCCTCCATTACGGAGTATTTTCTAGTGTACGTCTCAAGTGGCACTCATTGATATGGAGTAGTTGTCTACCACAATCGAATAGCTAGCTAGCTAGCTAGCTAGCTGGGCAGCTCACTAGCTAGCGTTGGAATGCCTTTTCATTTCGGGTGTACAACGTGGTGCTTCTTTGCACTTGATGCGCTGCGAGGGCGGTATCCCTGAGAGGGGTGCTGTGATGCGTTTCTTCTGCTGTTGAAGGCTTTAAGGGTTTTGCTTTTTGGGGTTTAGGGTTTAGGGTTTAGCTTGCGTCTACGTTATCCTTGAGAAGGGAGTTTTCTGCATGCATTATAGCATAAGTTTCCCTCATCCACAAGCTTTGTTTTTCCCTTCTAATCTATGACTCTGTTGCCGTGGTGTGTTGTGGTTTCAGCGTTCCAGCCCCATGGCTTCCTGTGTTTGCTGCTGCCGCGTCTCGCGTCTTCTTCGAGAGTATTAGGGGGTTAGATACGGCCTTTACGAATTCCTTTGAAGGCGTATCCTGCTTCCTCGTCGCCAATGTCCTCCTTAGACAGACATTCACTCTACCCAGAACCGGTGCAACGTACGACCCTCCGCCTCTCGAGCCGAACGCTCCGGAGGAGCCAGCNCTGGCTCAAGCTGAATGCGTCCGAATGTATCTAGAGGACGCGAGGCGCCATGTAGGCTCCACGGAGAGCCCTGCAGCTTTGGCTTTACAGCGCGTAACGCTGCGGCTTCTTGCTGCTGCAGTCCATGGTGCACTATCTGGACCGTTGAGTATCGAGGAGAGGCAGCAGCAGACCGATTCAGGAGAAAGGGTGCAGCAGCAACTGCAGCAGCAGCCTCCGATTGATGCAGATGAGATGGTCTGTTTGTTGACTTCTTCCTTCTCCCCCTTCTTCTCATTTTACCCCTTCCGCCAAATGACGTCGTTCCCATACTTCCAGGGCAGGGAGGGACCTTTGCCTTTCCCATGTCGTTCAATAGCAGCTGCAGCAGCAGCTGCAGCAGCAGCTCCAACAGCAGATGGAACAACAGCTGAAACAGCAGCTGAAAAAGCAGCTGAAACAACAGCTAAAACAACAGCTGCAACAGGAGCTGCAACAGAAGCTGCAACAGAAGCTGCAACAGCAGCTGCAACCGCAGCTGCAACAGAAGCTGCACCAGCAGCTGCAACAGCGGCTGCAACAGGAGCTGCGCCGTGCAGCCGTTACTGCCTCCCTCCCCCTGTGCTCGTGGGCTGCTGCACTTTAGCTGACGCAGCTGCTTCATGGTTTTCTTCTTCTCCGAGGAGTAGCGGCAGTTTTGATGCATACATTCAAAAACTGCTCGAGACTCTTCTGCCCTTCTGTGTGTCTGCATCTGGGGCCACCAGTGCAATCAAGGGGGCCCCCTCAGCTTCAGCGGCGGGGGAAGAGCCTCAGCGGCAGCAGCAGCAGCCACCTGCGCTTCCCCCATTGCTGCAGCCGCTGCTGTGGAATTTCGGTTCGAGTTCAGACTGCAATGCAACGGTTGCAGCAGCAGCAGTTGCTGTGCTGCTGCCTTGCAGCCTCCTTCGGGTCATCGTCTGTGCATGGAGGGCTCTGTCTGCCAGCTACACAAAGGCCGTGCCCTCGACAGATAATCCTTTCCAGCATTTGCTACCAGCTTTGTTGACTGTGCAGCGATATCAGCGCCAGCAGCAGCTGCAGCAGCAGCTGCATCCGTTGCAGCAGGTGGAGAAGGAGTGGTGGCAAGGCGTGGTGCTCGAGCGGGTGCTGGAGGTGTTTCTATGCAGCTTGCGGATGCTGCTGCTTGCGCCTGCCCCAGTTGAGGGTTTTTCTTCTCTTTGTCTTCGTTACTCAGTTGAATTCCTTGCATGCCAGCCTTTGGCTTTGAGTGATGGGCTGGCTCAGCAGGTGAAGGCGCTGCACGAGAGCGACAGCTTCCTCTCTTCTGTAGAAGGGCAAGTGCAGCAACGGCAGCAGCAGAAACTGATGCTGCAGCGTTTCTTCTTTTCAAAAGAAGAAGGAGTACAGCAGCAGCTGCTGGTAGGAGAGATATCATCGTGGAGATGGGCGACAGCCAGCTCGCTGTTAGCCAACATCATACAAAACTATGGAAGAAAAGACAGGGCCATGGGGACCGGGTCAACGAGTGCAGCGATTCGTCTGCTGCTGCGTCTTCACCTCGAGAGCTGTCTGAGAGGCACTTGTGTTGTGCTGCAGCGTCTTGAGAAAGATTTAAAAACGCATATTTGTAACAGCAAAGAAACTGAAGAAGCAGCAACAGATGACACTGCCGCCACACAGATGGAGAGGCGTATAGCGAGCGCATTCGTGGGCCTACAGTGGTTATGGGAGCTGCGGGAGGCTCTGCTTTCCTATGGTGACGATGCATCAACGCCACCACATGCAGATAGAATACAACTGACAACGGGTGCGAGGATTGCTGCTGTCCAGCTGCAGCAGCAACAACAGAACCTCCTCTGTCTGCTGCTTGAGGCTGCCCAGCATGCGCAGCAAAACGCTACTCTTCGCGGTGCTCTTCTTCTTCTTTTCAGCCGCATCTTCGTGACCTTCCTCTCACTCCCTCGACTCATGACACCTCAAGAAGGGGAGGAAACAATT